GTGCTTATGTCTCTGAAGAATATGATGGAGATCCAGGTACATATACCACAGCCACTTCTACTCAGGTCACCATCTCCTGTAACACTGTACTGCTGCCATGAGATGCTCACCCTCTTTTGCAGCAAGTCTCCCCTGCATCTGTGGATGTCTGCCCCTCTCTAGCCAGCCCTGTGCCCTGCAGCCGAGGCACTACCCACAGCATGGTCCATGGGCAGGTTAGCATGGTCCATGGGCAGGTTGGCATGGCGACCCCGATGCTGCCTGCCACCACACATGCTGCCATTGACTGCTTTCCCTGGGACCGTGCTTCTCCTTTCTGTCTCCCCAAACGAAAGGCAGTGCCTTCCAAGGAGAGAAAGGAAAGAGAGCAGGCAATGCCAAAGCCCTCTGTAGCAGGCAGGGGACAGTGGGGGACACTCACACTTTAATGTCTGTGGTTCTTTCAGGCAGGTAAAGTGCTTGGTGTGGGCCAGTCCATAGCCCTCTGAGGTGCCATTTCTAGAACTGCCAAATGGAAAGACTCTGCTGCAATGTTTCTTAGACTGACAGTGGCCTCAGAAAAATGCCTCAAGTCAAAGGTGAAAAAGAATCTGCCACGAAGAGTCCAGGGCTTCCTTGGAACCTACTAGCCTGAGTAGCCCAGGCAAACAGCACAGTATAGCTCTTGGCATATTCTAGGTGATGGATTTGGATGTATAAGCAAACCTTTACTTAACCAAGAAGGCTCAGAACAAGCAGGCCAGGGGCAACATCTTGAAACCAGAAAGCGTCTAAGCATGGGCTCCCCAAGCAGTGAGGCCCAGGAAATGGTAATGTCTTGTTCTCCAAGCCGTGAGTTACAAAGAAAGTGAGGCTGAAGGGCAGATGGGCCTGGGAGCTTCCCGGGTGCCACTTATTAAGGGTCACCATGAAGCAATAGAAATGCAATGTGAGGGAGAAAACTATAATAACCTGAGCTCTTCTTGGGAGTGGGAAGGAGTACTTTGGAAACCTCTCAAGGCGATGAAGGAGAGACCTTGCAAGAAGCACAAGTAAGTAATATCTATTGGGCCAGGGATTTAGCTCAGTGGTTTCGTTGCCTGCTGTGCAAGCGCAAGGACCTGAGTTCAATCCCCAGTATCAAAAAAAAAAAAAAAAAAAAAGAGTAAAGTAATATCTATAAGTGTTAATTGGATCCTGAGGCAGATGACTGACAACTCCAGGGCTTCTGTTTTGCCCAGTAGGGAGCTCAGAACGGACCGCTGAGGGGAGGCTGAGCCCTGCACCAGCTCCTTCTCATGTAAGCCCCTCCTCCAAATGCACTCAGAGCACGTGGTCCAAGGAGATGTCCTTGAGTCTCAGTTAGGACCTGGCTAAAGGAATGTGCCCCTGGGGTTTTGTCACCAGCCTCATTTTGTCTCTTGGTGGAAGGTGTTTGTTATGGGTTGAATTGTGTCCTTAAAATATATGTTGAAGTCTTAACCCCTGGTCCCTGTGAATGTGACTTTATTTGGAAATAGGATCTTTGCAGATACAATCAAGTTAGGAAGAGGTCATTAGAGTGGGGCCTGACCCAACATAACTGCTATGCTTACAAGAGGGGAAATCTGGACATAGGGATAGATTGAACAGAGGGAAAATGATGCAGTGACAAAAGGGAGAAGAAAGCATTGTGGATATGATGGAACAAATTGGAATGGGTCATCCACAAGCCAAGGACAGCTGAGGATTGCCAGAGACCCCAGAGCCTGGAAGAGGCAAAGAAGGATTCTCTCTAATGCCTTCTGAGCAAGCGTGGCCCTGCTGACACCTTGATTTCAGATTCTAGCTTCCAGGATTGTGGGAGAAGACATTTCTGTTGTTTAAGCCACTTACGTTATGGTACTTTGCTTTGGTAGCCAAAAGAAACTAATCCACTGCATGCTCTTGCAGCCTGAATGATCTAAAATCCATCAGCTTCGCCTACAGGTCTCTTGGTGTATTCATTTCCTATTGGTGCTATAACAAAATACCACAAATTGAGTTGCTTAAAACAACACAATTTATTATATTACAGCTCTGGAGGTCAGAAGTCCAAAATGGTTGAGCTGGGAGTTGCTATCATAGATAATTCTTGATAGGCATAAAAAATATTTGTTGTTCTAAACTTTGTGTTTCATTCACATCCACAGCATGGATATCCACATCATCTGCTTCATTCCTTTTATGGCTATGTAGTATTCCAGAACTGGCTGCTCTCTTGTTCATTTAGAATCTGTCGTTAGATGTGAGGCTGACTCCATTCACTGTCTTAAATTTCAGTATTCCTTTTGGAAGGCCAAGGGCAGGACCCATTTCTTCACTTTTCAGCTCCTGAAGGCCACCTGCATTCCTTGCTGTGGCTCCTTCCAGCGATGAAACTCCAACCTCTCTGCTTCTGTCATCGCATTCCTTTCTTTCCCTCTCCTTGCTCATCACATTGGTTGACTATGACCCTCTTGCCTCCCTCTTCCAAGAACCCTTATGATTATATTGAGCCTACTCCGTAATCCAGGATAATCCCCTATTTCAAGAGCCTCAACCAAATCACACCTGCAAGTCCCTTTTTCCAAGTAAACTAACAAATGCAGAGGTTCTGAGGATTAGGGTGGGGGCATCTGTGGGAGGTCAGTAATCTCTTTATCACGCTTGCTTCCAGAAATGCAGAAGTGTGCAAGGCCAAGGATGAGGATGCAATGACTTCAAATACTGAACAATCAGCCTGACTTCTGACAACAGATTCTAGAGGAACAAGAGAGCAGCCAGTTCTGGAACACTACACAGCCATAAAAAGAATGAGGCAGATAATGTGGCTGTCCATGCTGTAGTTTTATTTTTATTATTATTTATTTTTTTGGTACTGGGGATTGAACTCGGGACCTTGTGCTTTCAAGGCAGGCACCGGAACCACTGAGCTAAATCCCTGCCCCATGCTGTAGTTTTAAATGAGACACAAATTTTAGAAATTCATAATTCACTTGTTCAACAAATATTATCTATGCCTACATATGCCAGGAGCTGAGAACACAGCAGTAAACTGAACAGAAGTTTATATTTCCTTTTTGTATAAAAACTATCTATAGAAATATATGTGTGCATGGAAAAAATGTCTCATCTGGAAAGTAAACATTAAATTGTTAACAGTGAATACATCAGGAGAAGAATAGGGAATGAAAATGGTGAGGATTTCCCCTTTTTATTTGAATGTTTTCATACTTTTTTATCTTTTCAAAAAACATTTATTATTCTTCTGAAAAAGGAAAATAAATTATGGTACAGTTATCAGGAAGAATTATCTATGATATCAACTTTCATTTTATAATGATATAACTGTACCTACCATCTGCAAAAAAGAATGGAGAACGGAAGGAAAAAGGGAGAGAAGAGGAAGAGAGAATGAAACGAATAAGGAACAAAGGAAGGAAGGAAAGGAGGGAAGGAAGGAGGGAAGAAAGGAAGGAAGGAGGGAAGGAAGGAAGGAACGAAGGAAGGAAGAAAGGAAGGAGAACCAGCTGATAAGTGTTAACTTGGGGAAGGGATGGCTTGTGGGGCACTTAGCCAAGGCTGTCTTGGTGCAAAATGTCCCTCCCACCCCCGCAGGAACTGGCAGAGCATCCAATGTATTTCTTTATATCCTCTTTTGGCACCTAGCCCCGGGTCTGTACACAGTAGGTGATCAGTGACACATTGTTGACAAGTAGAGCAACCAATGGGAGCACTGGGCAGCGTGTCAATGACATTTCACCAGCCAGGGCTCGTCTTTGACCCCCGCGTTAGCAGGCACACCCGCCAGCCTCAACTCCGTACTGAGATTTGCCTCTCCTCATTTATCACCATTTCAGCTCAAATTCTGGCCCTCCCCTGAGCCCCTGGAATGTGCCGGTTTATTTGAGGAACAGGTTCTGCAGTTTGGGGAAGTGGGTGGAAATTCCAGGCCACTCATTTCAGACACAGTGGTGCCCAAGATGAACTTGTGATCTGAACTGCAACCTCCAAGCGGGCCTTTCTGTCCCTGGGTGTGTCTCTGGAATGAGGCGTTGTGGCCATGATGCGCAGGAAGAAAAAGAGGCAGCCTTGAGCTTAGGCATCCTTGTCCTCAGCACTGTCATCTTGGACCTAAATCCCCCTGCGAGCCTCGAAATCGCCCACCCAGCAAGGAACTGGCCCTATAACCAACAAAAGGGGCTTGTGTCTTGTCATTTTACTCTTGTCCTTACTATTCTAAGAGAAAAAGACCAGACTCGAGTATCTGAAATGTTTATGTTTTACTCAGAAAACATGGGGAACACTGAGACTTTGTCACTTCCTTTTAGTACCTTTAAGCATAGATTGAACAAGGAAAACAGTTGTCTCCTTGCATATGTACTTTGTTTTTCCTAGATCTGAGTTAGAAAAATTAAGACTACTCCCAAAGTATAACTTGTTTCAGCCTGCCAGACACTCCATGACATGTCCCACCCCCTGCCTGTTCTGCTTTCTCCCCTTTCTCCCTCACACCTAGTCAAGTTCCTGCCCCAGGCCCTTTTCACATGCTACTCCCACCACATGGACTGCTCCTCCCTCAGGGGTTCACATTGTCCCCACTCCTTGAGTCTTTGCTCCAATGCTACCTTCTCAGGTAGGCCTCCCTGACCGTCCTCTTTAGAATTGCAGCCCCTACTCTGTCCTAGCCCCCACATCCTCATCCTTACTTTAGTTTTCTCCATAGCACTTGTCACCTACTCATAGATCAATTATTTGTTTACTTTTTCCCTCTTTTAATGAAAACTCCATGGGATTTTTTGTTTGTTTATTTTGTTTGGGATTGTAAACCCAATTCTAGGATAATTATGGAATTTGAATCTTCAGAGAGGAGTTTGCATTATGTATCTAAAATCTTATAAATATGCTAATGATTCCACACTGCTATTCCACCTCTAGGAATTTATCTCTCAGAGATAATCACATATGTGTGCAAAGATATACTTAGAAATGTTGCAAAACCAAAACACTGGAAATAATAAGAGCTGAAATTTAATTACCACTTACGGTGTGCCAGACCCTTTTTTAAACATTTTATGCACATGAACTCATTAACATTTCCCAACAACCCAAACCTGCTTATTACTGTTTGGATTTTACAAGTGAGGACACAGGCAGAGGGACTGGAGAGAATGTACTTGGTCCAGGATTTGAAGTCTCTGAATCGAGAGCCTGGGCTCTTAGCTGCTCTATGGGTTATATATAACTTGCTCCAATCATATAGAAGAAGGGATTTTTTCCTGAACATCTTGGGGAGGGGGAAATAGACTCCTGAAAATTATAAACAAATGTTGTGTTTATACATACCAAGGGAAGTTAGCTTTATCAGATTCTCAAAGACATCCAGGAACCAAAGTTGTGGAATAATTCTTCTACATGAACAAATTCATGGGGTATCAACATCTATAGCACAGACTTAAAATAATTTTGTAAGCTTCCTTCTTTTCTTCACATAGGCTTTTCTCTTCTTGCCCCAAATCATATTGACGACCTAGAATGTCACCATAGGAGAATTTTTAATGATTTAAAAAGATCTTTTTGATACATAGTTAACTATAAAAAGCATATTACTAGTGAAAATCTGTTATAACTACATTTTGATAGGAAATTCATATGTAGACATATGCACTACGAAAGGTCTCAAACAGATTATATGGTTAACAGTTGTCACTTTGGGGTAATGAATTATTGGGTGTTCTAAACTTCATTTTTTATTGTTTGTGTTTATCTGTTTATAAAAATATGAATTACTTTTGCAATTAAATACATCATTTCCTTTAGGAAAAGGCAACCTCTGGGAAGATAATTTGGTAGTAGCCACCAGAATTTTGTACATATCTTTTATGCCATCAATTAATTCTATTCCAGTAGTGTGTTTTACAGAAATCCTGGCACATGAGTCTGAATGTAAATATAGTAATAGTAACTGCAGCCTTGTGAAAATTTATAAACAACCCAAACCCTTTGTGGTGAGTAATTAAGTTGACTATGGTATCTCCAGACTATGGCAAACGCTGAGGCTGTTAAAAATAAAAACAAAAACAAGGCAGGTAGATCTCTGAGAAAACATTTTGCTAGGTTAAATAAGAGTTTACAAAAGAAAGAATATGCAACTCTAAAATGGCAAAGCTGGAATTTGAACTCAGGGACTCTCACCCTAGAGCCTAGGCCTCTAATTACAGAATGATACTGCCCCAAACCGCCCCTGAGATAAAAACTGACATCTTATTTAATTTTTAAAGACTCCAATTGGCTTTGAGGAGCAGTTGATGGAGTCTATCAGTTACACCAGTGCAGGGCAGCAGGGCAGCAGGGGCTATAGGACCCATCCCCATCCCAAGGTGACTGCCCACAGAGATTTGGGGATGTGATTTGAGCTGGCTCCCCACAACCACAACAAACCAGGCTGTAATTGATAGCATTCACAGATTTGTGTTGGCGCTCTCAAATGTTGATACAAAAGTTCATTTCCACCGACACCAATGGAGATGAAATTCTAGCAGTGCAGCAAAACCAGGGGACCGAACGCCTATTTGGGTTCTATTTTTATTAGAGCCCCATTAACTTGTTTCTATCAGAGCAATTAAAGTGTCGAGGCCTGCAGCTCAGCAAAGCTGTGGAGGAGGTTCTGTATTGTGAGCGGCTGTTCTCAGGCGGAGAATTTTCTGTTCAAAAGGACACACACCCCCCTGGGGGGCGGGATGACTGGATGGAGTCTCAGGCTTATTCTCAGCCCCAAAGTGGGTTTTCTTAGCAGATAATTTAGTAACATCCTCTGCAGCTGGTCTTGAGTTAACTGGGGTTGAAGATAACCTAATTTCCCTTCTCCTTTTCTTCCTTTTTTGGCCTGGTAACTCAAAGCTGGTTTAAAGACTTCTTTTAACTTGCAGCAATGGGATGTAAATTCTTTTCACGCCTTACTCCAGGGCACCGTGGAGGCCAAGTGTGAAGTTTCACTTGGCAGAGCTGCAGAGAAGAGGTTCTGTCTCTCCTTTTGCACCTTGAAATCAGCTAAATCCATGTGAACTGGGCCCTGTCCTCATTCTATGCCAGGGCAGGCATGACTGCTGGCTGAGGTTTGCCCCACCACACAAGTCTGGGCATCTTGACCCAGGCACATTCTGGAACAAAACTGGACAGCTTGCAATTCAGGGCTATTAACGGAGCATCTGTTACTGTGCAAGTCCTGTGCTTTGTGCTCTGGGGATTCAGTGGGTCTGGGATACAGCACTAGAATTTGTAGGTCTAAAAAATTCACTGGTGGCATTGGTTGAGGGACACTTTGAGAACTGCTTATTGTAGGTCTTTGCTTCAGTGTTCCTGCCCTGCAGGTCCGCTCTAACACACACACCCTGATCTGAAAAGGTGCCCCTGCCGTAGGCACTCAAGGTTATATATGTGACCCCTGCTGGGCTCATGCTTCTGATGATCACATGGCAACCCCTACCTCCCTGACCTTCAGCTCTTGTTGTGAACACAAGTGTCACAAAGCCCTCAAAGTTTCTAGTCTCAGCTTCCTTTCCTGCACCTCATCTGTCACTCTTGTCAATGCTCCTGCCATCCAGGTGTGCACTCAGTCCTCAGAATGGACCAAGCCATAGGCTTCTCATCTTTTCTGGCCCCAGAACCTTGGCACTTGCTACCCTACTGCCAGGGACAATGTCCTTCCATGGACTTTTTACCCAGCCAGCTCTGCATCCTTCCTCAAGAAACTTTCCCCGCTCTCACCATCTAAAGAAGGTTGCCCAGTGGTTCCCCTCACACATCCTTTTTAACTCAATCATTGCAACCTGGCTTCCTGTCTGTCTTGCCCTATAGAATGTAAACAGGAGCAAGAGGTGTGGTCGGCTGCTCCACTCCCAACCATGGGCCCCACACCCCACACTGGCGCAGGGCAGACCCTTGTTCGAGGGACAGGCGGATGACTGAACAAGTGGGATTCCTTTCTGCTCCTAAGAAATCCACAGAAGAGGCCAGAGCCAGCCAACCCTGCCCTAAGGAGAATTGGTTGAAGCCTGTGGGCTCTTCTTTTGGCAAACATCCCTTCCTCCAGGCCAGCCATCAGCCAGGCCTTGATTTGTTTTGAGCAGGGAAGCGGGGGTGGAGACAGAGGGAGGCAAGGAGTTCTGGCAACAGCCAGAGTTGCAGATTAGACACACAATCAAATCCAAGGGCTGCTCAGTGTTCTGCCAATTGAGATACCCAGATTAAACAGGCCAACAGCCCCTGAGATGAAATGCTGTGCAAAATAACTTCTCAAAAATAGCGACTTGCAATCTCAGAATTGAGTCCAAATTGTCAATGACATGAACAGTGTTTTGAAACAGAAAGCTGAGTTCTATTTATACTACAGATAATGGTTATGTGACAGAGGTGTAGCTTGGGCCAATTTATCCAAAGGAAAAACTTAAGAGTGGTGGCTTGGTGCTGTGCTGCAGGGACCAAGACTGCAGTGAGAGAGGCCTGGCAGGGTCGTGGGAAAGGGCTGCCCTGGCCTGGCCCTGCTGCTAAGTACACAGTACTCACAAGATTGTGACCTTCAGAATCAGCAGATCTGGCTGCTGTGCGGCCTTGGACATTTAACCTCACTGAGCCTTTCTCTGTAAAGTGGAGACAGCATTAATTTACTTGTTAGGGCTGTTTTGAGGGTTAAAGGACGAATAAAGTGGTTTTCACAATGCCTGGCACAGAATAAACTGTAATAAACAACAGCTGTTATTAGTAACAACTGTACATTGATAAAGTCATATTGTATCTTGGAGCCTATTTTCTCTTTTTTGCAAAAAAAGTTAAGAGCTTTTCTATTCATCAAAAGATACTACAAAGAAAAATAAAAGACAAGCTACAAACTGGGAGATTTCTGCAATATAGATAATTAACAAAGGAAAAGCATCCAGAACATATAAACAACTCCTATAAATCAATAAAAAGATAATCCAGAAGATAAATGGGCAAAACACATAAACAGGCTTTTCAGAAAAGAGGAAGTATGAAAGGCCAATGAATGTATTTCTTAAAAAAAAAACATGTTTAACCTTATTAGTATTCAGGTTAATGCAAATCAGAACCAAAATTTTTTCAACTTATTTATTTTACAGTACTGGGGATTGAGCCCAGGACCTTGGCACTGGGCTACAACCCCAACCCTTTTCACTTTTTGAGAAGGCGTCTTGGTTCCTGCCTCAGCCTCCCAGAATACTGGGATTACAGGCATGGGCCACCAGGTCTTTTTTTTTTTTTTTTTTAAATGTGCTGGGATTGAACACAGAACCTTACATGTGCTAAGTACGTGCTTTTCCCATGAACTGTACTCCTAACCACAATGAGATATTTAAATATACACCGAATTGGCAAAAAAAAAAAAAAAAAAGAATTCTAATAATGGAAGCTCTTACACACTGTTAATGGGAGATGATACACTGTGGCACTAGCTCGTGAGGCAAGAGTACTCACAGACCCGAGGCCATAGTCCCACTCAGGTGTTCATGGAAAGAAATCTGTATAAGAATGGACATAGTGAAAAGTTCATAATAGAAAAAGGACTGGAAACACACCAAATGTCCACTGCTGGAGAATGCTTATAGCAGCAGTGGTAGCATGCTCCCGTGATTGAACTGCAACTACATGGCTGAAAACAAAACAGGAATGCGGCAAGGGGCAGTAGACTGCATGCAGCATGATATAATTTTAACAGAGTTCAAAACAAACCAAAAGAATATATTCATTAGAGTTAAATATCAAGGGGACATTAATGTAAAACCCAGGTTAGTGGCTCCTCTGAGGGTAGAGGGTGGCAGGGAAGCAATGATTGTTCTATAACCTAAATGAGTGAAGTTCACATGTTTATTGTATTATAACACTTTGTAACATACAGATAAGCTACATATATTCTTTTTTCTTTTTCTTTTTTTGGTACCGGAGATCGAACTCGGGTCCTTGAGCTTGTGCAGCAGGTGGCAAAACCATTGAGCTAAATCCCTGGCCCAGTTACATATATTCTTTTGCATGTATCAAATATAAAATGATAAGTACTGTACTTCTAACATCCTGTACTGGTTAATCCAGGCCTCTTCAGCTCTAAATTATGATTTCTGAGCTATTGTGTAGCAGCTACCAATGAAGGAGGATTTCATAAACCTTCTGTAACCTTCATCAGTTGGTTCTGTATATGTTAGTTCTCTGACTTCTCAGCATTAATGACCATCATGGGAGCCTAAAGACAAAACCTCTTTCCTGGGAGATTTGCTCTGTAGTGTGGGTCCTAGGGACCTTGCCACAACCACAAGGATGACACAGAGGAGGTGGGCTTACTGAGCTGTAATTAAGCAAAGTGATATATTTGTCTCCATTTAACTCAGTTAAACACTTTCTTCTATCTATAAGGACATGTACAATAACCTGAGACACATGGTTTTTCTACGGCTTATTTCATTTGATGTGTCAGAAATGCCTTTTAAAATCACAATGATCTATGGAAATAACTAGCTTCCAATGAAGTGGTTTTCAATTTTTATTGATTTCTTTTGTTAAAAAGCCTTAAAAATTGGAGAACTTATTTTTCACAGCTGGCCATACATCAACATGATATTGCATGTTATATGGCTCCCTCCCTCTCTGAAATCCTCAGAATGACCTAGAAACTCAACCAGCTTGGTCCTGCGAAATGGTGATCAAGTTCCAAGCTGGCTCAAAACCTGAGAAAATATTTCCTGGACTTCTTGATTATTTGAAACAAACACATTACTTAATATTTATGTGGAATCTTGGATTAAGAAATAACAGTGAACATGAAGTACTAAATTAGAAAATGACAGTGTCTTTTGAAACACTGTAAAAAATGTTCTGCTCTTGAGTAAAGAGATAGCCAAGTGCCAAGTCCTCTTGCTCCCATTAAGATAAGGCCTAAAAATAGAAGTTCCATTTGACCCAGCTCTACCTCTTCTGGGTATATTCCTGAAAGAGTCAGTCATCATACAATAGCAATCCATGCATATCCATGCTTATAGCAGCACAATTCACAATAGCTAAGCGCTGGAAATGCCCATCAACAGACAAATGGATAAAGAAAATGTGATAATATATGTATATATATTATAAAATTTTATTGAGCCAAAGAATGGCTAGAAAAAAGGGATTTCCAGGAAAATGAATGGATCTTGAGCCCAGAATGTTAAGTGAGATAAGTCAGATGCAGAAAGTTAAATATTGCGTGGTTTCTCTCATATGAGAAACCCAAGGTATAAATAATGAGTGAAATAAATGAGTAGGAAACAGGGAAGTAGACTTTTTGGAGATGGGGAAGGGGTGGGGGGAGGATGAGAGTTGATATGATATGCATGTACCAATTCCACAAAACATATAAATATTATGTATCACAACATACCAATTAAAAATAAAGGTGAAGCCACCTTCTGGGAAAGCCACTATTATTTTTCCCTCCAGTGACTCTGGCAATGTAGCTTTGAAGATTGGTTTCAGTCTCACCTTTTGGAAGCCTCAAAACAAATCCCCACCTCACTTTTCCTTCAATAAATCATGCCATCTTTTCTCATCCACTTCCTTTGTTGCATTTGAACGTACATTCCTTAGCTACTCATTTCTTTGTGTCCAAAAGGAAGATTTTTAGTTGTACAAAGCAGATGGGCAAATCATGTGGCAATCAAAGAGAGCTCTCAGGGTGAAGTGGGAGCAGAAAGTACCACACAGGTTTGAAACTGTTTTTCTTTTTTTGTTGTAATTAGCCTTCAGTGGGAGTTTGCAAGATGAGCTGGTTCTGTGCTCCATTATGAATTCTGAAACACAACTGGTTCCCAGGCACTATTTTCAGAGCTGTGCTGACACTTGTTAATAATGTTGGTGTATAAAGTCGTGCTCATTTTAAACTAATTTAGATACAAAGAAAATTAGCTAGAGGCTGCCAGAAAAGGAGACAATCAAGTTACTGCTATCAGAGAGACTGCTACAAGTTTCAAGTAGAGTCAAAGAGGCCCCTTTTCTATCAGATCTAAGAACTAAGGAAAAAGTGAAAGGTTCAGGTGGAAATCTTACATTCTCTCCCTTTCTGATGAGTTTACCAGCAGCTTGCTCCTAGGCAAGCTCAAAAAAACTCGTAGTTGCCCCCAGGAACCCCAACCTCACTGCAATGAAACCTCTAGTCAGCTCTACTTCTGAAATATAGTAAAGACCTATAGTCTTTACCTATATATAAAGAAATATAGTAAATATAGTGAAGATTTCAAAATCTGCGTAAAGTCTGCATAAAGCCTGTGTTGTACTAACGTTAGCTTTTTGGCTTTGATAAATGTACCATGATCATGGAAGATGTAGGGAAAGTATGTAGCTCAGTGGTAGAGTGCTTGCCTAGCATGCATGCATGAGGCTACGGATTCAATCACTAGTGTTACAACAAAGAGGAAGAAGAGGGATGCAAGGACTAAGCCTGGAGCTGCTCAAAGTTTAGAAGTTAGGGAGTGCAGGAGGAACCCATGGAGGAGAGCGAGCCTTGTCCCACTCCCTGCAGCCCAGACTGTCCCAGGGAAAACCTGCATGCAGCGAGGACTTCTGCCTAGTTATGTGGAAATGGAGGAAAAGGCACACATTTACTCTCTGGATTTTAGCAGCAAGTTGTTATCAGAGTCAATGTGTTGACCTTTTTTTGAAAAATACCTCTTTGAAGGGATCAAACAGTAATCCAGAAAAACTTTACTTGGGGAGGGTGACACAGGAGGGGATAGTCTGACAGGATTGCAGGCAGATGTGTAACTGAAAGTGGATTCAGATGCTATGTGTGTTCAAAATTTCAAATAGAAAAAACTCTATATATGCACACCCTCGTATTCCTTGACATATAGTCCCTGAAGAAAAATTAATTTGAGAAAAAAAAATGGCAGCAGCCTTGGACTATCTTTAAATACAAAGATATCTGTGAAAATAAAGATGCCAGAAGTTAAATAATATGCTTTTCTTACTCTAAGAGTGGTTTCTTGGGTTCTAGCTATACACAATATTGCAACAATAATGGAAGTCTCATTTTCCTAGGCCATAGCACATCCCAACAAAGAATGCATCTCATATTTATGTGTACTGTACAAACAAAAGAGCAGTTGCTAAAACATGATTTATTTGGGAGTTATTGTCAAATACGATCAAAGACAAAATTCTCTGATGGCTTTGCTGATCATCTGCAGTACTGGAGTTACAAAAATATTACTGGTAGAGAATACATTCATAGGAAAAGCTGATCATTTATTTAGTACTAAAATCAAATTGTAAAAACAATTCCATTTTAAAAACATTTCTTTCACTCTAGGTTTACATCAAGACATCTGTACAATTTGGAAACCCAAAACCTTCTGTAATTTCCAACCACAGAGGTAATTTGTCAGTTGTAAGGTGTTGGAAGGGGAGCAATGGTGTGGAGAAAATTGCCCACCAGACAGTCCAGCAGTCTCATAAGGAATGCTATTTCTTACTCAGCCTGGGTTTCCTCCTTGTTCTTCTCAGAAGAGTTATGTGCTTGCTTACATAGATTCCCAGTAAATGGTCAGGGGCCTTCTATGCAATAATTTCCCAGAATTTCCTGAGGAGAAAAAAAAATGTAACCAAGCCTTTTAGCCACTTAACATGTGCCATGTTGATTCTCAAACAGGGCTCCAGTCCTGATTTCCAGATGTAACAAAGGCTGGTTAACACTCCTTAATAACTACTTTGCAATTCCAAGTGGATCCCTGACAGCTTTCCTAGAGCAGAAAGGAATAAGTGTGTGGATGCTCTAAAGATTGCAGAGACAAACACAAGCTCAATTTAACCATGTTCCCTCTAGGCTGACTGCAGTGATGTGATTCCGGTTCACAAAGCCCTGATCACGGAGTACAAAAGTAATGTCTTCTCTCTCCTGCCATGCCATTCATTTGCCTTCCCCTCACCTTTTTTTTGGTGACTGTTTTTGGAAATTAGGGTAATTCCCCACAGGTGAACAGCCAGAGAGATTTGTTAGTCAGGCCAGCACCAGAGGGTGCTAGTCTTTGTTCAAGTATGAGGAAGATGAGGCAAAAAGCTCAAGAGTACATTTTGTGAACAGGCAAAGGTGACCCAATTTGTACACATCCTAGTACAAAGCTAGTGACACTGAACATGTGAGGCTGTCTAAAGTCCCTGACACAAGAATACCAGCTCCAACTCAACTGCAAATGTATATGGCATTGGACCTTATTTAGGACAGATTTGGATTTCTCTTTGCCTGTGCATTCCTAGGTCAAAAGGCTTGGGCTGTGGGTTAGTAAGGTGGGCCAGTCCTGGAAGATTAGAGGACCAAGGGCTTCAGGACACCCCATCCCAACAAGATGGTCCCAACTCCTGAGAATACTGCAGGTTATAACTGATGAGATATGACACAATTTGGTCCTGAACAAGGTCAACTACATCTTATCAAGAAGCCATGAAGCATAAGCCCACCTGCAGCAATTCTGTTTTTCTGGCCTTCAGTCCTCCATGTCGGTGAATTTTCTCTTCTTATAATTCTGAACGAGGTTGGAAGGTGTGATCTGAGAAGCCTGACCCTTTTCCCAACATTGAAAGTTATTCAGTCCTTTCTGCCCAGTTTGAAATAAGCCCCTCTCCATCTCGTCTAGCCTAGCTACCAGGGCTGAAATGTCTTCATTGTAAGTGTTCTGAGAGGAGTCCATGATCCGGCGAAAACGTCCAATAAATGTCTGAAGAAGGAAGTAAGAGAAGTCAGGGTTGATCTAACATCCCATAAAGCCAGATCTATTTTTATCTTGGAATATTTAAATGGCATGAAAGAATTTTGGTCTTAGGACTCAGGAGGAGGACTGAATGCCCTCTACCACTCAGATACGCTACTAAACACTGCCAAGCCTGTTACCTTGACTGTGAAATGGTCTGTTATGGAATCCAATGGTTGTTATATAAAGCATCCAGCAGTGGCTTGCACATAAAAGCTCATTGAAAAGCCTTACCCATTACTGTCAAGTAACAAAGGCCATAATAATGTTCTGTAGTCCCAGGGTAACAGTTTCACCAAACAGATTCTGATTTAACTGAACGCAGTCTCTATTTATCTCAGACACGTGAGATCTCCAGGAGCCATTTTACCATTGGGCTCTGAGCACAAACCACAAGCTCTTGCTTCTGTTTCTTCTACTGTCTCATGGGAAAGTCACCTTATCTATAAGCAACTCTAAAGAACTTGAAAGCAAAGAAAAAGAAAACATACAACAGCTCACTAAAAAACATAAGACTCTAATTGAGGAACATGTTCTGGGACATTAGAAGACAAATGGATTTTCCTCATTTTTATTTCTGTGCCAAAGAGCTTCATAAAAGCTTGAATTCAGGATTATAATCTATGTCTATAGTCTATGTATGGATTTTCTTTTTCTGGATGGACAGCAACATTTTTCTTTACTACCTACATTAAAAGGAGCACTAGTACATGGTGGGCCAAAAACACTTAAGCCTGAAGGATGACGTCAGTTTAGCACAGGGTTCTTTTAAAACTAAGAATGCAGAAGTCAAGCCATTTGGCTGTTTCTGTCCAAAGAGGCAGAAAGGTAGTTTCTCCTAATGTTAACAGAATAAAAAATAATTGTAAAGAGTCAAAATAAAGTTAGCACTGTTTTGTCCACGAAAAATAATTATAGTTATTGCTTATTAAATGTATTAAGTAGAACTATGTGGTTTTCACCGCAACTCAGTAATTTTGGTGCTATTATTATCTCCATGTTACATGTGAAGAATTCATGCCTAGAGAGGTGCAGAAACTTGACCAAATCAAACAACTAGTTCATAGTAGAGCCACGTCTTAACTCCAGAAGAAGGGAACAAAGAACAAAATAATTCAAGTATTTCCAACAGGAACCCTTAGCACAGTCCTATGATGGGCAGGGACTTTGAATCTAAGTGCCTGTAACCTGTAATACACCATCACCTTTTTTCTCTTTTCCTGGACTTCCTGCTGATTCCAATTTTTAGAAAGCATATATAAAGAGCAGCAGACAAGTCGTATTTTAAAAAATATATAAAAGAGGCAAGAAAGTTTGCAGTGTTACTGCAAAGTCAGGTGACTAAAGATAATAATAAACTATATATTTCAAAAAGCTATATTGAAAATTTTTACCATAATGAGTTATGTTTAACTTGATTTAAACATTATACAATGTATATATGTACTGAAATATCACATGGTACCCAATAATATATATAATGTTTGTTTTTAAGTATTAGTTAAAAATAAATTTAATTAAGTGGGAGGGGTAGGGGAAAGGAAAGAAGGGAATGGAATTAACATGAGAAAATGAAAAAAATGGAAACAAAGTCTTTGTAAATAGGGAGGGATGGAGGGGTTGAAGGGAGGGCAGGGGAATGGGGAAAAAATAAGAATCAAGAGAGATTATGTAAAGGTGCAAATTTCCAATGATGAATGCCATTATACTGTGTACCTAAAATGTACCAATAAAATAAAATTTAAAAAAATAAAAAAAAAAAACTTAATTTAAAAAATATTTTTTTTATATTGGCAGACACATTATAATTGTAGGCTGACCTGAAATAATAATAAACTGTTTATAACCATACATTTCCCTGGGCAAAACTGACATCTGGTGGCTGCCACAGCTGCCTCCAAAGACAGATGCAGGACTGCGGGTTTTCATACCAATTACAGTACTTACCTGCAGTAGAGACTGGGATATATCCGCATTCTCCGGACTGTCAAAATGGAGCAACTGGGAGCCAAACCCATAGAAATGGGGTCCCATTTTGTGGAGGTTTACCACATTGGCATCTGCACTGAATACGGTCCTCCAACCCTCTTGGTAGATCTTGGGAAGTTCCACAGAAAGGATGCGCCGCTTGTTGTCAAAAAGTCCTTTTGCCAGCCATAAGGGGAATTCAAGCTTTGAGCCCTGCATCAGACAAGAATGTAGACTAGGGCTGGGGATTTAGCTTAGTGGTTCTAGCACCTGCCTTGCAAGCACAAGATCCCAAGTTTGATCCCTGGTACCAAAAAAAAAATGTAGATTCATAAAAGTAGACAAATATACAGTAAATGTACATGACAAAAAGGAAATACATATAACCTGATCAATATTTTTTCTTCTCTTTGGGAGAATGACTCTCAACTGTAGAAGACCTGGTTGTGACCTAAAGAAATGAACTGTGTGGGCTGAAAGTTTTATTTATTTTTATTAAGTTTGGTTTTTTAACTGACATATAAAATATATTAAAGAGTAAGCAAAAGTGAGACAGGCATGGTGGCACACATCTGTAATCCCAACACTTGGGAGGCTGAGGCAGGAGGATCACTGTTTGAGGCCAGCCTGAGCTACATAGCGAGTTCAAGACCAACCTGAACTATACAGCAAGACCCCGTCTCAAAGAAAAAAAAAAAGGTGAACTTTCCAATAGTGATGCCCTCCCAACAAGAACATGTCTCTTGCAAAGAAGATACCCCTCTCCAGAGGAAGAGAAGAGGAAACAGGAAGTAACTGGTATAGAGCCCCAGTTCCTACTTCATGGATGTGAAATAACCACATTTCACCACAGTCGTTAGCTGTGCACAAATAGTAGTTTTGTGTGTTGGCTGCCCCCATTGTTCTCTGCCAACCTACAGGAGGACAAGCAAGGCTTACTAAAGGGAGGAAGTAGCACTAACAGCACTCTCAATCAAGATGGGTGGGAAGCCATCCCAATAAACTCATTTTGGATTAAAAAAAGAAAGGAGAGGTGAAATAAAGGCATTTTTCTGAGAGAAAGTGGCCTCAGTTGGCATCTGGAAACTTGGATTTCGGGAGGGTTCCCACCAGTCCCAAAAGTGATGAAAGGATCTCACTGTGACTAAACTTTTGTAGAAACAACATGGTGTATATGAACACTTGCTTTTTATGTGCTGGGCAGAGAGTACTTCCCCAATAAAACCTGGAGCACTAAGTATTTAACAAGCTTCCCTGCTAGACCCAAGGAGGCTTATGCTATGTACCTGGTCTTCTCTAGACTTCCTCCAATATATGCTTTCCCTTTGCTTATTCTGTTTTGTATCCTGTTGCTGTAATAAATCCTAACCATGGGTCCCACCTTATGCTAAGTCCTGTAAGTCCTCTTAGTGAATTATCAAATACGGGGGTGGTCTTGGGGACCCCTGTCAGAGACAGAAATTGAGGATTTACCACCAGATAAATTTCCTTACCAAGTAAGGAAATCCTGAAGGGAAAATGAAAATGATTCCAGAAATATGGAAATGCAGAAAGAAAAAAGGGTCACGCAAAGAGTAAATAAATGGGTAAATAGAATAATAATGTTTTATAGGGTTTTAAATGAATCATATTAGACTACATGAAAATAATGCAGGAGGGAGAGAATAGAACTAAAGTGTTCCATGATCCTAATATTGTCTTTGAAGTAGTAACTTGGATAATATTATTAATAAAAAATTATGTAATAATTAATGTAGTCACTAAAATAATAGAAAAATATATAACTAAGTAAACAAAACTTTAAATGGATAATAAACTTGTTTAATCCAAAAGGAGTCAAGAAAGGAAAGAAAAAGAAACCTGAAACAGATGGGAAACAAAGAAAATAAACACAAATACATCAATAATTAAATGTAAGTGGATTAATTACATGGATTAAAAATTGTCAAACTAAAAAACAAAACCCAACTATATGCTGCATAAAAGGAACATACCTTAAATATAAAGAAACAGAAACATTAAAAATAAGATAGAGGGCCAGGGATTTACATCAGTGGTTCTGTCGCCTGCCTCACAAGCGCAAGGACCCGAGTTCGATTCTGAATATCAAAAAAGAAAATAAAAATAAAAATAAGATAGCAAAAGTGTCATGTAAACACTAAAATGAAGGAAGGAAGAAGCATCACCAGACACAAAAAGGGACATTTGACAATAAGATGGTCATTATATATCTATAAAGAAGATATAAATGTGTCACTACACTGAGAGAAGTAAAAGGAGAAACAAACAAATCAATAATCATAGTGGAAGACTTTAAGTAGAAAGTGCCCCCCCCCACACAAACACACACAAAAATCAGTAAGAACACAGAAAATCTCAACAAAACAAAAACAAACTTCACCTGACTTACATATATTTACATACTTTATTGCACAACATGACTCCACAAAACCCATCTTTCCAAGTGCATTCAGAATGGCTAAATTGATCTTATAACAAGGCATAAAGTAAGTTTTACCAACTTTCAAAAAGCTGAAATAAGGCCGGGGATTTAGCTCACTGGTTCTGCCACCTACCTCAAGCACAAGGTACCTAGTTTGATCCTCAAAACCAAAAAAAAAAAAAAAAAGCTGAAATAATTCAGACTGTTTTCTAGCCACAGTGGAATTAAACTAGAATCAAGAACAAAAAAGGTATACAGCAAAGTTTCAAAATGTGTGGAATGAAGCACCAGCCCTCTAAGTAACAACCCACAGATTGAAGGAAAAGTTACAAGGGAAATGAGAAAATATTGAGTTCTCTGATAATGAAAAAATACAACAAATCGGCGTTTGCTACCATGTGGATGCCATGAACTGTTTCTCCTCTGTGATGCCCCTATGTCATGTGCCACCCTGCCTTGAAGCCAGCCAATTATGGACTGAAACCTCTACGAACTCCTCCCGGGCCGCCATACCACCACTCCCAGTGCAGAAGAGGTGAGCCGTGCAGGCAACAACAGCACACACACACACCTGTCCCCACCCCCCCATCCAAATGAGAAGACACATAAACAAGTCTCAAAACTAGACTTCCAGATCACCTACAGCAACCCCAAAGGGAAATGAGATGGAACACTCTGATACTCAACCACCTGGACCCACTGAACT